GAGTCTGGTGGGACAATGCTGAGATTTGGGTGCAGGGTTTTAGACAACCGCGGTCTCACACTGATGCAAGTCCTTGATCTTCATATAATTCCTTGACTAGTGCATGTGTTAAGCACATCACACGATAGGCTTTCTTTGCACTTGATGGTTATCGCGGCAGGTATTGGATGGAAAACGGCTAGCGGTGACCAAAATAAGGCCTGACATAACGGTTTCATACCTCTCACTGGGGCTCATGTCGCCTAAGGCACCTCAAACGTCGCGCTTACGATCGCGGTGATGAAAAAAATCTCAATCAATCGTGAGAGACATTGAGGTATACGGTTGTGTCCCAAGCGGTGGCGGTCGTAGGAAAACTGACTTTTTGTGCAGCTCTAGTTTACTCGATCTCTCTTTGTTTCTTCGCTTTTACGGAGCATCAAACTCTCCCATTTATCCATGCCCCGTTCATCGGCCCGACAGGTAACCGGAAGACTAAATGAAGTTGTTCCTGAAAAGTGCAATGCTACTTTATTCCGTATCGCAGTGAACTAAAATAAGTTTCCAGCAAATGCTATAATCCACACAAACTGCGCTCTTGTGATCTCACTCAATCTGTTTCACTTATACAATGCTAAGATATACAGTTGATCTAACGGTTGTTTTCTTGCCGACTCTATATGTTTCACTTTGTTAGTTCACGGAATGGTCCCATACAATTTCGCCGGTTCGCCGAGATGGCAATTTGTTTGCAAATGTTTCATCACCAGCCGAGGTGATATCATCAGTGTCACTTCAAAAGCCCTGATGATGTCACCTCGGCTGGTACTGAAACGTTTGCAAACAAATTGCCAAGCTCGGCGAACAGGCGAAATTGAATTCAGTTCACCCGAGCCACAAGAACCGATCTTCAATATTTTGTCAATGGTCCCATAAAACCAAGTGGCTCAGGTATCCTCCGCTGAGGAAGCCTTACTCACTGCTTACCCGTGATGAAGATGTTTACCCACCAAAGTGAAAGCACGCTAAGCTAACACCTGGAGCTATAACTAGGGCAAGGAATCTAGGGGAGTTGGTCAGGAACCCTGATTCAAAACCAACCAAGAAGAGACATACGAAACACACTCACTCACAACTTCCTGGTCGTGGTAATGGACATGGACTCTATTGGGTATCAGGTATATAGGGCACCTTGGGCTTTTGACACCGACAAAGGGTGTAATTATTACCCAAAGAACTGGACATTGGCCCCTGATTGACTGCGGTTTTCACACAACACCCTGCTGCCTTGTGGGTTAGAAAACGGTTAGA